TACTACTACTACTACTACTACTACTACTACTACTACTACTACTACTACCGCTACGTATACTACTGCTACTACCGTTGCTACCACTACTTGTTTTTTTGTGTTTTATCTTTTCCAGGTGGTTCAACACCCCTTGCCTTTCCCCAATTTGCCTAAGATCCACGCGGCGCTGGTCCATCCTGGATTTTTCGGAGGCGGGAGACCCGACCGTTTCATCGGTGGCACATCCAGCCCACCGCCGCTTCCACCGTGGGAGTTCCGGTGGAGAGCGACTTCCGCGGTCCACGGTTGATCAGGTTGGCTGCATGCTAATGCATGTCACCATGTCTTCACATGTTGTCACACGTGACTCGTGACCAAATGCCGAAAGTCACCAAGGGGGTTCACCCTCTCTTTGATCGTCACATATCGTCACATCTCTCATATAGTCTCTGCAACCCACCTTGGTTTGGTGGAACTTTTCAATGTTCGGTGGACAACATCTTCCGAGGCTTTCACTGGCTGGCGATGCACTTCCCTGTTTGCTTCGTTTCAATTGAATCGTGTGTGTGTGTGTGTGTCCATGTGTACCCCATGTTTGCTGCCTAGACACAAGAAAGGGTGAATGACACGTGTCCTCGTCACAAAAATGATATGACTTCCATATTGAGCCTTTGGTTTTCTACTGGCACCATAAGTTCAAACCGGATATCGCAAGAGGACGCCCCAATGGGGACCGCTTGGCTTCAAGCATGGTAACTCCCTAGGGCTAAATTGGCTTATAAATACCTTTTTCAGACCTTTAGGGAGTCCTCCGAACCCTATAGGTCTACATGGTTTACCCTATAGGTCTACATGGTTTCAGTTCCTTTACCTACTGGGCCTACTTCAACCCTTCAACCTATCCCAAACACCGCGGAGCCTGTAGCGTCAGAAGCACTCTCCGCCCGGAAGCCGAGGTGCCCCGACCTCCCCTCTCTCGACGGAACATGAGCCAGCCATCCCACGGGTAGGTGTTGGAGACGGTGCCGCGCTTCGGGACGAATTGCAGCAGTTGCTCCTTCGAGTTGCATGACCTTTGGCAACGCTCGCTCGGGCGGCCCAGGACGAACAAACCACACGGACACGCGGTCCGGCGTTTTTGGGACCGGTGAACCCCCGGGGAGCAGAAGTAAGGCGAGACTGGTGCGTTACGGACGTCCGGCATCGGTGGTTTGGGGGGATGGCTTTGTTTTTGGGGTGGTTGGCTCTTGAACATTTTGACAAGATCCAGTCAACTGTTCAAGAAACACAGTTGTATCATGTTGTACCCTACCATGTTCTACCCCACTCAAAGGTCTTGCACAGAGCCTCAACAAATATATCAATGTGCTTACAAGCTTCGCCGAACATGCCAGTCCCAAACATTCCATGGGACTGGAAAATGTTCAGATGATTTCCATTGTCAATCTACATGATGCAATGTAAATATGAATATTTACAGTATGCAAATTCAGGATGCTTTCAGGGCTTTCAGGGTGAAACCCTGGGGTCGTAATTACGGGGCGGCTTTTCTCACTTCCCATCGGACTCTTTGGGCCGAACGAGCCGAGGCCACGGCACGTGGTGGCTCGATGCTCCGAACGCCCGGGAGACCTGATGCGAAGCCGAACGTGGTTTGGGCGGGATACCACAGAGCCGAATCCGTGGCTGCACGGACTCATCTTAAAAGGCCGGATCGGTTTTGGGGCAGGACACCGGCCGTTTTTGGGTGGTCTTTGCCAGGTTAATTTTTTTTGGTTTCCGGGTTTCAGGGAGCGAAGAAGAAACCACGTTGATGCACAGCGGGCTTCCTCAGGGGGATCCAAGTGTGGTGCATGTATTGTGCATTGTTGTCACCGGACTGTTCAACATTTTGGTGATTGAACTGGAAAGTCCAAGCCTTCTCGATCCATGGTCACCATGCCGAAGTTTCAAGAAGCGGGGCCGAGCAACTTGAAACAAAGGCAGATTCAGCACAAGTCCGCAAGTCCGATTGCCACCATCCGCCCGCAGCCTCGTTCACTCTTCCGAAGAAGACCGGGAAGTCCACCAGGCCCGTGTGAATGGCTCCGCCAGCACATGCTTGCGGATTTACCGCATGCTTTTGGATGATCCACCGCCATCTACCACGTTTACCATCGTTTACCTTGGACATTTTCAGGGGTTTATAAACATATATATATACCTTTGGGTGGTGCTGGTAAAAAATCAAAGGTACCTTGGACTAGTTGCATGTTTTTCCCCGTGTGCCTCCGAGAGATGTTCCTTTTCCCGCCATTCTTGAAGCTCGAGCCGGGGAGCTGGGAGTCATTCTGAGAATGTTTGGAATCAAGTAATTAGGTCTTACAACGGGATGAATTATACCTGCACCACCCAGTTTGGGTGGTTGTTGGATGGAACATACATCTTCAGGGGAGTCTATTAACCAGCCGATCTAGGTGGGGCTGGTATAAAATCAAAGGAGTAGTGTGCACTTGTTTGTCGAACAGGTGAAGTGGAGACTTTGCCTTGCAAGTCGGCCAGATAAATCTGTTTTGTGCACATCAAACATGCGAGTTGTGTTTCAACAACTTCTCCAAATTATGCAAACAAATGAAGATGAGCTTGGATCTCCTCATCTACATAGGTTCCGCTCTCCTGCTCTATGGATCAAAACCCAGACCAAATCAGACATACAGAAAAAGCCTTGAATTCTCCAACATTCTGAGACACTTGTGATGCCACTTGCAGAGACAAAGAATGAGAACGATATCAAGAAGAAAGGATGCACAAGGTGAGTTGCGGTCAACTTGCTCTCGTTGATTTGAAGAAAAATCCCAGAGACTGCTGCGCGTGTTTGAGGCACAGCTTGCCCACCTCGAATCGTATGCCATAGTCCCTCTTCCACAGTTCACAGCCATGAAAAAAGGATATGGGACAAAGACAAAGAAAGCACATATTATATAAGACATTCTACCAGGACCATCCAAAGGGTGTCCTGGCTGGACTACCCTACCCTACGATCCGGGATTTCGAGCCAGGACACCCAGATACGATGGTCCAGGTATGTGTGAAAACATGTAAAGACAATTGCCAGCACCACAGAGTTCGAGTGGTTTATAGACAACCCTGACTATGCATTTTACTTCCAATCACCACCTACTCCTTTGTGGTCCTGGTGAAGATCTGGTCTTTTGTGATTCGCCCCGGATCCAAGGCGAGTACATAGCCTTTCACTGCGTTTGCCGTCGGGATCAGGCGATCACGGCGGGAGAACGGACAGAGAACAGACTGTTTTGTTTAGAATCACTGGTCCATCAGACGTCTTCAGGGCCTATATGGGCCTATATGGGCCTATATGTTCAGATCTGGTTGTAAAAAGCATTAATGTATAAGTCAAAATGTTGGTTGAGTATGGTTGAATGATTATTTAGGATGCCAATATTGTTTTGATGTGTAATTTTTTAGGATGATTATTTGGAACGACATCGGAACGACATCGCCGGCTTGAGCTCCGCCGGGACCTTCGTCCGCGCCTTCGACAAGATGCATTGCTGGCCCGGCGCCTTCAGCATCGTCAATGGCCTGCCGGTTGCTGAAGATATGGGCGCACCCCGGCTGCTACGCGGCTACAGGCCGTCCTATGTCAAGGACGTCACAGGCGTCAGGGAGTATAGTGATCCTGGCGTTCCAGGAGTCTCCCTGCTTTTTCGCCCGGGGGACACCCAACCGTTACAGGTCACCCTCTCCGTCACTGGAATGACCAGCCCCGTCCACATTGAGCGGAAGTGGCACGCCGCCAGCGGCCTCCCCAACTTCCCCGACATTGATCTTTTGCCCGCCCACGGCTCTTATGAAGGCGGGTGCACCCGCGGCCACCTCGTCGGCTTGATTCTTCGAGTTCGCCGCGGACCCCTTGACCCGCAAATTCGTCACCACCCCCACGGCCTGGGGAAACCAGCCCGCCGACATCAACGACGGCGCCTACGCCGTCATCGAGAGGTTCTTCGCCCAGGTCATCCACAGCGGGAAGGAGGCTGGCATATGCGACGTCTCGCTTACCGGCTACGTGAGCTGGGGCGGCCGCCGCCGGCCCGTCGTCCACGACGGCACCGTCGTCAGGGACGCTGGCAGTGCACCCAGTGTGTACACCTTGCGGTTGGTCTGCGGAGGCTACGACTTGGTCTGCTCCGTCGACTACAGAGGGAGGGCCTTCGCCTCATGCAGATTGTTAGTCCAGCACGGCGACGACGTCCGGGACGCACCAGGGGGGCCCTTTGGCTCTAGCTTTGCGCAATTCAGGTGGTTCAGCGACAGCCACACCATTGACGCCAACGGCGGTTTCAGCCAAATCTTCTCCGAGGACCTCATCCGCGTCATGGTCCGCAGGGACGCCTCAGTCCTCATCGTCGTCAAATTGCTGGAGTGCCAGAGGGGCTGCGAGGACTTGCGGCGGTGCTACTCCGTCGTCGGCACCGAAACCACCGACAGCTTGGCCTTGATTGCCGGCATCGATTCCCGCGGGTTCCACGTCTCCAGCAGCAGTGTCTCGTGCGTCATCTTGGGCATCGACACCGAAGGCTGCGAGTACAAGTGGTCGACCCTCCACAGCGCCAGCAGCGTCGTATAGCCGCGTCTGCACCGGCGCTGGCGAACCTGAGGTTGAGCTCCTCGGGGGGTTTTTCTGCAGCTTCAGTGAGGTCGCCTCCGAGAACGACTTCACCGCGACGGGCAGCGTCTTCACTGTCTTGTCGCCGCGCGGAATCAGCGCGGGCTTCTTCGACAAGGGCGTCTTCTGGTCCGCCGACCACTGCAGCGGGGACGGCTTCGTCTTCATCAAACCGAAGCGGGTCGACTTAGGCTTCATAAAGATGCCCTGGTTCGACGTCTGCCCTGGTCGACGTAGTGGGCTCCTCCGGGGGCCCCATCTACACGGGCACCGTCGGCCAGGACGCCTGCGTCGTCGACGTCGTCGCCAGGCGCACGTCACACGACGGCCGCTGCGTCGTCGGCAGTGTTGGACACTTGCCCCAGGACTATGTGTCCTCCCTCTCAACTGGCGAATACAAGTTCGGCGAGATCGCCATCGACTGCGGATTCGGCAAGACCGCCGTGATAAAGAAAGTGAATACATGTGAATACCTTGGCCACGGACGAATCATCTCTCGTTGCTTGAGCTCGGCTTCCGCTTGTTTCCCGCGTTCGAGCTGGTGAGGCGGTGTGTCTCAAAGCCTCAACCAGTTGGATGCAGTGTTTCTCCATGAACTGCCAGGTGGTGCTTTTGGATATGTATGGGTAATGTATATACCCGGGCCCCCTAAGGGGTGTCCAATTATAGCTGCTTAGAGGTTAAGGGATGTACATTACCACCCCTTAGGGGGCCCTGGCATAAGTTCAACCTTTTAAATGGGATGATTCTTTGCCCACGGACGAACATTTTTTTGTTTGTTAGTTGACACCAGCAAGCAGATCGGCTTCTTGGCTTCTTTGTCATACCTGGACCCTGGATCTTCAGTCCGGCACTTTTACAGGGTCCGGCGCCGGACTTCCAACTCCGGCGTTTTTCTGAATTTGGTCCGGCAGTTTTTCCAAGTCACTTGAAACGTGGATTCTCAAGGCTTTGCATTCTTTGTGGCTTGCATTTCTTTGAAGGTAATGATTTGCTTACAAAGTGTGCTCGTTTGCCTGTTCCGCTCTTTTCTCATTCCACCGGTTTCAGCATGGTTCACACTGGATCAATCAGATCCGTTTCGGTGATCTTCTAAATGAAACCGGATGAAAATGGTACAGTGCGATGCACGTGTTGAAAGACCCAAGTGGGTGTACCTAAGCTGAAAGAACATAGGCAAAGATGTACTCCCATTGTTTCAGGATGTCGGGGCGCTGGGATATAATTAGTTCTAGTTGCGCAGGCTTGCAGAGCCTGCCGGACAAGTTTTGGGCTGTGGAACATGTGTTGTTCAGAACCTCTATGTTTTGCAAAGAAGTTCCAGAAAAAACTACTCGTGGCGCATGGCAGTTTGCTGGTGTATGATCCAACCTTTTATCATCTCTGTTTTTCAGAATCTTGGATCCGGATGTTTTTTCAGGTCTCCGGCGCTTTTTTCGGAATCCGGCGGAAAATGTTGCCGGATTGAGGTCCGGCACTTCTTCCGCCCAAAGGAGGATCCAGGTATAGTTTATATAACCTTTCTGAGTAATTAGTAGTCATGTTGCCTCCCGAGAATCTCTCAAGCAAAGACCCCCAACTACCTGGTTGCTTTAAGTGACTCTTTGAGATCCCCGGTGCTTCCGTCACCTCTGGTCGCCTAATCCCAAGGGTGGCCAGCTAAACATCTTTAAAACCCTCAAAGGATCACCTTGAACAAGCTGGCTACACAAATTAATGATAATATGGAACTACAAGACATATATCCCTAATAATGCCACTATCACCCGGCTAACGCAATGCTACAAGACATGACATGAATGTTTGCTTGATGGTTTGTCTTTCATGATTTAGCCAAAGATGCCTACGAGATGTTCTTGCGCACCCAGCCATTGGCTGCTTTCTTGGCCCCATTTCGCAGGGCTCGCTGGCCCGTGGAAGTAAGGTCAACCGACGGTCAAACCAGAAACAAACCCATGTGGATGTTCTGGAAAATGGGATCTTTCCCCAAACTACTACTTGTTATGTAAAGGCTTGAAAGGCTCTCATTTGCCATCCCGGATCCACCGCTCATGTTTAAGAAGGTGAGCGGGGAGATACTGTCATTTAGGGCTGCAGGGTCCAGTCGTACCTTCTGCGAAGTTAGGACTGGATTCCTTAAGGCCCTATTGTCACAACCATTTGTTTCTGGTTGGGACTGGCGAAACCCAGGAATGGAGTAGATGGTACCCACTGAAAAACCATAAACCCGGGACAGGTTGCGCTTGGAAACACAGGAAGCACCGATCGAACAGAGGATCCAGGAAAGGTTTTTGTAAATTTAGTAAAGTCGTTTTACTTCAGGTATTTGTAAATTTAGTTCTATAGAATGAAGTCAGACACTTGGCATGTCCGCTTCCTTGGCATGTCCTATTCGATGTGCTTCGATCAACATCGATCCACGGTCGACGTGGCCAACGGTCGTCGGGCTCAGCGAGGTCTTGGCACTGCAACGTGGCTGGCGCTCCTTGGGCGAGCACGCGCTTTCGGTGGCCTCAGAGGTGCGGGACTCCCGCAACGGTGCCACCGGTGGGGTCAGTCTGGTCAGACACGGTGGGGAACGGGTTGGTTGTTGCTGGGAGAATCCGGACATGGTCGGCGCCGAACGAACAGAGTCACAAAAAAAAGAGGACATGGATTGAAGTTGGACAAAACGTGCAGAACACGGTGTCATGGGAGCTGGAACGACATGGAGCCAGCTGGAGAAGAACACATACTCCTGACCATCCGCAGAAAAACACCTACAAGACTGGAGAAGAACAGTCGACAGTTCGTCAGAAACGGTTGTTATTTTTTGGTTTTGCCAATTCCATTGGAATCGCATCATCAACTTTCAAGCCTGTGGATGTTTGATTATGTTGGAATCTGCGAACCGCTTTTGGGAACGGCCCATACTGCATAGAACTCCAACAACTTTAATATCTCATTTGGTAGATGGACAACATGGAAAATCATTTGTAGACCCTCCTAGCTATTTAATTTGATCATGTTCATGCAAAGGAATTACACAAAAAACTACGTCACGCGATCCTCTCACACGTAGTAAAAAAGGGTGTTTGAAGGAGGCATCTCCTGTGGATCATCTCCAGGCGCAGTTGCTGGAAGCTCTGGAAAGGTGAGCTTCGATCTGAAGCGCCGCTCGTGGTGTTTGTTTTTTTTCCCGCCTCTCGTTGGGGGGGGTACCTTGTTGACCCCAGGGGCGTGGAACGGAGAAAGGCGCCCAAAGATAGAAAGAAACAGTGCGAAACTGGAGTGTGCGACACTCGAACATGTGGAAGATGGTCTTATGATGTCCCATGTGGCTGGTCATGGCACCCAGACCCCGTGGCGTAACCCGAATCGGTATGTCTTCACATTCGTTGGTCGTTTGTTCATGTGACCGGTGGTCAACGGGTGGGCCCACCCCCGGTGCCATGACCCACAGCCAATGTGAAAAAAGGTCGACCTGTTTGGGCCTGAGACGAACCGAAAAAAACGGCCATTGGGGTGGTTGAAACGGGCTCGTTCTATAGGCAGAGAGAGAACCGTTGTATATTCCATACATGGAATGTTCGAGTTCGATGATCAACAACCAATATTTGCAGTTCCAGAGTGATTGTTGCTTTGTGCCGTTTGGCTACCGGACGATGTTGATGAACAGATCAAACATATGCCATGTGCTTGAGGAGTCTTTCAGGGAATCAAGGAACACTGAGATATTGATCTTGCAAATTCTGCAGCCCAAAGAAATCCATGCCACGGGATTCAGCTTAAAAAAAGAACAAAGCATCCTACTACCCATCTCACTACTGGTCAATGACTTGTCATCACTAGGCTTATCAGGGGACGATATGGTGCCCTCGCGCCTCACGGTCGAACAAAGTCGGACGGTCGATGGGATGCCTGAGTTGCAAGGGTGCGTTCGTGCGCACGCAGATGGTAATGGAAACTGGAAGCTCAAAAGCTGGTTGCAAGGGAGGAAGATCCTTAATTGGGTCTATGTTTCGCTTGTCAATGGTTTGTCTAGACTCTCTGAAGTGTTGTTTGTTTTTCAGAAACAATTTGAAAGCGAGACTAGAGGGATCAGATCATTCTTGAGGTTACTGACATTAAGAATCCAAGAGCTATGTCCCCGTCAGCGGTCCCCTTTTGTTTGTTTGTGGCCCGTGGGGCCTGGGTGAACTGGGCGTCCTACCGGGGACCTCTGGTCGATGGCGTTTCTTCTAGGAACTATGCTTGCAGAACTCCCATCTTCAAGGTCACCATGCTGAGAATGGGGCAGAATGGGGCAGATGGTCATAAGCTCCACCCTGAGAAAAACATAATGTGTCGAATGTGTCCCGTGAAAGCTTGGGGTTTGCTTCGGGTTCTTGCTGCAAGTCCGTGGTCAGATTGTTTGGTCCTTCCGATCCTCTCCGCCGTTGATTGCTGCGAATCGGTCTCCCAGTGTCGTGTGTCCAGCAGTCGCTCTACAAGATGATCGCTATTCCCTGGGGCTCCAACCATATCCTCAGGTGATTAGACCTCCCAAACCCACCCCAACCATCTTCTCAGGAGGTGGTCGGAGCCCTAGGGATTATTGAGAAAGGCTTTCTTGAACCAAGACACCTGCCAGCACCACGGATTCCGAGTGTCCATCAATATATAGCCCGAAAAGAGGTCTTTTGGGGTGTCTATGAACCACCCCTTCCGTGGTGCAGGATCATCATCATCATCATCATCATCATCATCATCATCATCATCATCATCATCATCGTCATGATATCATCCTCATCCTCCTCTTCCTCCTCCTCCTCCTCGTCGTCGTCGTCGTCGTCGTCATGGGATTCATAGTTGCCCCACTTTGCAGATCCTCGGGTCCTTTGGAAGTTCTTCCTTCATTTTAGACAATCCTCTTAGAATCAAAAGAATGGATGAACGTCCCCAATTAGGGACAGGCGTAGACAAACACACTGTACACACACACACACTCTTTCACGTGCCGTGCGCACATGACGAATGGAACCACTGAATTCCATCGCTGTCGCTGAATTCTGCTGCCCACCTGTCGGACGGTCCTTTTTTGTGGGGCTTTGAAGAGCCGGGACAAGCGTTACAAGACAATGATCACCCTGCAAGTTGAAGACTATAATTGCAAAGAATGGTCTTTAGGTGAACCAACAAGGAATTTTCTTTACTTCAGTCGAGCAAGATATAGTCTTTGGACTTCTAGGGAGAAGTGTTTCTGTTGTTTGCTGATTGATGTAGTCAGGAATCAGGGCCCCGCTCCAACTGTGGTCGCGAGAAAAGCTGAAAAGAGTATCTTTACATGCAGGTGACACGGGAGTGGCTTGTACCCGCTCTTGCACGGAGCTCCAACATACCCAGGCAGGTAGATTGCCGCAGTTCATGCTAGAGCCTATGGTAGATGATTGATGGAGAGCTGAAACCGTGCTGTGGCAGCAAGTGAACAGCCCATCGATTACTTGCAGAACCGGTTCTTTCAATTTGCAGAGGCACCCTCGAGTCAACAAACAGGGTTTGTCAATAAACATCATTCCAAAACCCTGGAAGAAGCACCAGGTACTCCACCTCCAAGCCCCACAAGCTGGTGCATCCACTCCTCCTCGGAGTGGATGTGGAGGGAGCAAAAACGAAACGACTCAGCCAGGTGCAGCCGCACTGTCCAGGAACTGAAAGGACTCAGTTTACTTCATCTCATACCTGGTTTTGCTTCAGGTGACTTTCTTATTTTTCCCAACGGGTAAATCCATATAAATCCACTTCTGCGGATGTTTGTCAGGTTCGTTACGCTTCCTTAAGCGTTTTGCTTAAGCATATGATCCATGAACACCGACATGATGGGTTGTGACCCACCATCTTCGCCCGACCAGTCCCAGCGAACGACCGACGACGCGCGAGTTCGGCACGCCCGGGTCCTGCACAGTCGTCGGTCGGGTGACACAGGTCTGAGAGTGAACCTGAAAAGGTGGCTAACTGGGAATGTGTGGTGGTGCAGCTTCATGCCGTACGTCGGAGCCGTACGTCGGCCCTTCAGCCTACGTCGGCTTGATTGAACATACACCAAACCCACCACCTGCACCACGGAAGGGGTGGTTAATGGACACGCTTTGACCTCTAATGATTGATGGACACCCGGAATCCGTGGTGCTGCCAGGTGTCTTGGTATGTCTTGGTCTATGCTTCTTTCTTCCAGCGTGCTTTTTGCTCCAGCCGGTTTCATTTCTTCCCGCGTCTCTGTCACGTAGCGGCACCCCCTCTTCCCCGCCGCGGACGGATCTCGGTCAGCAAAGCCTGAGCGATGTGCCGCCTCATGTCGGTGAGAAACCGCTCATGCACCAAGCGACAGCGAACGGCAGGGGCGAACGACAAGGGACAGAGAGATGGGCGAGAGAAACCAGGTGCTCAGAATATAATATAAACAAATATGCATGCATATATACAGTATATATATTATATATATACGATATATATATATAGCCGATTGCATGATATTGTAAAACTGTTTGGGTCCAAGCTGTGTGCATCTTGGGTAAGGTGTAGCAATGGATTGCCCAGAGCTCCAGCTATTGTTGAAGCAGCATGGCAATGGAACAGTCTCAGTGCGTAGTCCAGACACTCCATAATATATGGAATTACCTAGATTTACCCTCTAAAACCACCCCAATGTAGGCTAATATACCGAATGCCGATTTGTGTTATATAAGACTTCCCTACCATTCCAACTACCTCCTGAACAGGTGGTTGGGGTGGGTTTGGGGTCTTCAAGGTGGTTGGACCCCTCTAGGTCAGGTCTGTGTGTTCCTTTTCGTGGCCAACCGAGACCCGCAGACCATCTCGCCCCGGTCCAGTCCAGGTTGATCTCATCCGCTTCGGTTAGGTTCAATGGGGCCGTAGGGCCGGACATGGCCCGTCCGACATCACATCGCCCAGCTAGGGTGCCAGGGTGCCAGTGCCGAACCTCAGAATTGATATATACCTCAGAAATCTAGTATACTAGTATATTCCAGTCCATATACCTATAGCGTATACCTAGAACCTGATTGACCCCTGCAAAATGGAGCCAAAACATGGTCAAACTTCCTATCAAAACAGAGGTCATGTTTGGGTTCTAGGTACTGTATATATATATATATATGTGTTACTGTCACAGCGACCAGGATTCTGAAAAAGCGGTTGTTTGTTGTGCACTGTGCTTGGCGCGTGAGGAAGTTCATGATAGCGGCAGCCAGAGTAGATCAGGCCAGGAGAATAGGTTGGATCTCCTCATGACGGGTTCTTTTCCAGCTTTTGAATGTGACTTTTGGTGTGTCAGGCTAGTACCCCCTCCCCTTCTGTCCCTACAATTTGGTGGTGAGGTTTTGAAGATGCCGAGTATTTGAGTGTGCCCTTTGAGTGTGCCCATAGGGATTGGCCCATGGACACTGGGCTTGGCATGGACCTGACGGACGATGACTTCCTCTACAAAACGGGAGTGGTGAACTCAGGTTCCATGTGAGTCTCGGAAGTACCCGATCCTTGGCAGGGGTTGCTCCGCTCCACGGTGTTTTTTTGTTGGGCCTTCCACACAGGTGAAAGGGACTCGGTGACGAGCTCCGACTCGGCCCCCCAAGAAGTTGGTCAATGACCGAAATACTGAAGTGGGTCATGGAAGTTCACACCAAGGAAAAAGAGGAAAAAAGGAGGTGTTGGACGTACAGGATGGGTTTCTTCAACTCCTGGGATGTCCGGCGAAACGGTGCCGGGAAACGGGTTCTGCTTCAACCTGTCGAGCGTGTCAACAGACCTGTTCCATCGATGTCGAGGGCGGTCTGCCGTGCCTCGGCGATGCGGTCGTCGTCAGAAACAGAGAACTTGGACTGGACGAGCAGTGTTTCTGCCGGACCCAAGCTGTGACCCTTTTTTTTCTCTCATGGAAACCTGCTTTCGCGGAAGTGATGCCGGTTCATTCAGAGATCTAAACCTAGAAAGTCATTCGAGATTATGAGAGAGTTTAGCTGAATTTGTAACAGCGTGAGGTCTTGACTTCATGTGCCCCTTCATGTGCCCCTTGGAATTGCCTTTCACGCTGCAAGTGGGTTTTTTGCAATGTCCAAGAGCTGCTGCAGAAGTAATCAGCGTTGGATTTGACGGGCGACAATCAGATGTGAGATAATGTAAGTATGTCTTCACCTGCAACCATACAGTTATTTGACATTTATTTATCACTCCCTGAAACAAATCTTCGTGGTGAAGTGGATGGCATGACAGGCCCCGATGAAACGA